CCCATTTTTTCGAAATTTTTTAGTCAAGTGGTTTTCATTTTCAGTGGTTTTCGCACACACTGTGACTTAAATACAGAACTTGGTGTAGTTCGGCTCAGAGAGGAGGGGGCATTTTGCACTCCGCTACTGCCTCTCTCCCCCTTCCCCCCTGGGCCATCAAGTGGAGACCTGTGAAACCTTGGGAAGTCATGAGGTAATACCAGCCAAAGTTTGGGGATATCACTTGTCAGTTCTTGTAAAGATTTAGCGTAAGCCTTGATAGCTAGTAGCAAAAGTGCCCCTCCAAGCCGAACTACACCCAAAATTTCAAAGAAGAAAATAGTAAGTAAAATAAAAGGACTCCTTATGCAATTGTGAGTCTGCTACGCTCCCTGACTTATAAATGGGGCACTTCCTCCACTAGGGGAAAAATCTTGCAAAATACGACCCCCTTTCACAGCAGCCCACATAAAATCTCCCAAATTTTTCCAAGTTCCTACAACAGCTCCCGATTATTTTTTCAGATTTTCTTGAATTTTCTCCGAGGACTGTCGTGGAACGACGGAGGGGGGAGAGGAGCAGGAGGAGAATACATAAGGAATATTAGATCCTGCGAAAAGAAAGCTCTAATTTCAAGTATTGAAAAAACAGTAAGAAGTGCGCCCCTCCCTCCGAGATGCTCCCGAAATTTCTAACAGGAAAGCTGCAAGTAAAATAAAAAACCTATGGCAAATTATAGTTATTTTTCGAACATAACCAAACAGTGAGAACTCTGTCCCCCCCCCCTTCCAAGCCGAACTGCACTGAAGAGTGACAAATATGCCCTCCTTCTTCCCAAGTCACACTGCTCCCAAAATTCCGAATAAGGAAGTAGTAAATGAAATAAAAGGTATTGTTATGCACCTGCTAGGCTGTGTTGGCTGCTGTAAATTATAAATGGCTTTCAAACACACGAGCAATAGGAAATATGCCCCCTCCAAGCCGAACTGTGACAAACAGTAAGTGTACGCCCTCCCGCAAGCAGAACTGCTCCCAAACTCCCGAATAAATAGTGGCAAGTAAAATAAAGAGAATCCTTGTGCAATTTCAAATCTTCTGATGGTATGTAAGTTCCCAAATGTTAGTTGTAATCAAGGCACGCACTGCCGTTGGAAAAAATTGCAAAATGCGACTCCCTGAAAACGCCCTCCTTTGACGACCCGCCTTCCCATCCTACCTAAATTTCCCGAACTTTCCAAACTTTCTGGAAACTTTTCCCAAGTTTTCCCCCAAACTTTCTCGAGTTCCTCT